CCAGTGAAATATATTTATGTTTGTGGTTGTAATGTGACAAAATATGGAAAAGTTCAAGGGGTATGAATACTTTTGCAAACCACTGTATAAACATTTTGAAGGGTTTGAAGGTTGTTGAAAATGGCTCCATTTATTTTCAGTGCAGGTCGAAAAAGTAAAATAGCTAAAAAAGGATAAAAAGCTGAAATACCAAAAGTCACAGCCAGGACGTCCTGAAGGAGATGAAAGTTTCGATATATGAATTGTAGAAATAGCACAAAAATTGCGGAACAAGATGGGTTTATAAAAACGTATGGATGAAGAAATGAAGTCAGTAGTGTGAATGCTTGTGAAGCGTTCACAAAATAAACCAATGAACTGGGTAGTTAAACACAACATGTTAGCACCGGTTCTTTAAATTACATCTCCTAAAATTATTTCTWGTCAACAAACAACAGGTAGAGCTGGTTCTTAACTGGTTCGAAAACATTACAACACTTGAAAAGTCTCCTCCAGTAAATGTTCAGTCCTAACTCTGATCAATTTTGAATATCGTTCAGAGGTCAGAGAGACAGTTCATCTACATAAACTCTTACTCCTGTAAACAAACAATTTAATTTCACCAGTCAGATTTATAAACGGTGCCTTTTCACTATCCAAACAATCACAACCTCTGCTCATATTTCTAAACAACGCTGCAAACCCAWGTCAAATGTCCTGCTTTAAACAGGATTTATAATCAACAGCTGGTGCAAATAAAAGACCCAGCAGTGTTTAGAACTGGTGTTTCAAACAGCGTTTGATAAATCCAGATGAAAACGGTGGTCGTGAACACAGCTTTGTACCGTATGCTGATCCACATTCACCACGAGCTGATTTCCTATTGACACTGAAGCTCAATATTTTAGGTTAAACGCTAAACCAAATCAAAGGTTTTAAGGTTTTTGGTCTTTATGGAACCAAAAACGTTAATTCTGCTCAGTTGACTTTAAACATGTAGCAGTATGAAAGAGAACAAGTACAGCCAATTAGWGTCAGTTCCATCTTTGTAAAAAGTTGTAAAATGTTTGTTTATTTCCATATACCGTAGATCCCTAAAATCTAAATCAGATTTTAAACATTAATGCCACTTCCAGGTCTGGTCTTGTTTTCAACAGAATTTCCCACTTGGAAATTTACTCTTAGCTCTTCGATGGGAACTTTTTTTTTCCTTCTTATAGCAAAGAAAAAAAAGCATGACGCAACACTACAAGGTCTCACAGGGATACTACAGCCGTTTTTACATATGCACTTTAGTTCTGACATTTTCTAGACATGTTCCGGGGAGGCTGTGTGACTTTTTGCAGAGCTCACCCAGGCCCCTGCTGCCGAGCAATAATGTGGTAAAATGAAGAGTGTGACCATGAGCCTGGATCATCCACAGCAAGCGCAACGACCTCTGTTGCTTTTAATTTACTCCTCCGCGTCGTATACGTCCAAAAACATGTCATTCTGAAAGAAACAAAAAAACTGTTATTGAATGGAAGGACTCGTTTTCAATTCCCGACATGCTTTTAAGCAAATAAAAAAAAATTGTGATTACCTCTGCATATCTCTTTGAATCGCTATTTCCAGTGGCGTAAACACGTCTAAGAAGTGGAGAATCTCCTGCAGGAAAATAAATAGGCAAAACAAACTCAAATAAAAATCTGTGGGAAAATTAGTTCTTCATTCTCTGCATGTCCTCGAAAACATTCTTGAGCGTTCACGTGTAAAAACGGCCCAATAAATGAAGTTTGGCACCCACAGTGTGTATTGATTTTATTGAAATTAACCAAGTTAACCATAAACTAAAATAAGCTTGTTTTGGAGGAACTCTTTTTTTTCCACTAAAGGTCCTGCTGATTGTTGCTGATATATTTCGGGTTTCGTCAAAGCGYTGTGCACTGATCAGACATTCTGCAGCCCCCAATGATCCTGCTAAATCAGGGTTTATTGGGTCTGAGGAACTCTTACCAGGATTATTATAGTTAACTAAAACTAATTAAATAATGAAAATGAAATTGAAAAAACATTTTAGTTAACTGAAATAAATAAAAACTGTAATAAAATGAAAAAACAATAACTAACTGTATAATCTTTTTACAAAAATAACTAAAACCAACTGAAATTATAGATAGAATATCCTTAGTTTTAGTGTTTGTCAGTTTATTTTGAGGCGTTTGGACTGAATAAACGAATCTTTTTTTCTTCTATAAATTGAGCAGTTTCACTGTGTGCAGCTTACGGCACATCATGGTCCGTAACGTCACCTGTTTACAGTCTGCTGCTGCTCAGCATCACCTGCAAAATGACGACAAAAGTTGGGAGAAAATAGTAAAGTCCGATTTGGGATTTCTTTGAATATGACTGTGAGAAAATTAAAAGCGTGTTGTAGTGGAAACAGGTAATAGAATAGYTGGAATWCTTCTCAAGGGACTAATWTGAGTATTTTGACAAGCAGCTTCTCTGAGTAGTTCCTGTGAAAAACAAGCCGTAGTCCAGCCAGGTAGCACCAGGATCTAGACAACTATTGTCACCTTCRTAAAACAACTGCCCGAGTCCTTTGTTGGTAAAATTGAGTTACGAGATTATTTTAGGAAGGTGTTGTTATCTTTGACTGATGATCAAAAAGCTGCTGGTTAGTGAACTCACWGGAACATTTCAAGCTGGAGGATGCTTTGGCAAATATGTTTATTCAAACTACAAAATAAAACTAAAACCAGAACTAATAAAAACTAAACTAAACTCAAAGTAAGCATTAAAAAAGCAATAATAACTAATAAAAACTAGCGAATCCACACTAAAAACTAATTAAAACTAACTGAAATAAAATAAAAAATGTCACAACGACATAAAACTAAACTATAATGAAAAATTCAAAACTATTATAACCTTGCCTCTTACAGGGGTGAAACTATTCCAGGGACCCCCTCATAAACCTCTTGCTGATTTAAAAATGATTTACTGCCAGTTTAACCCTTAAACACCATTATAATAATATATTTCTATATAAATATATATATTTTTGGTCTGTTTATTTTACTCATGCATTGTTTCCCTTATGCATTCATGACATTTTTTGTATTTTTATTTTTTGAACGAAAAACAAACATAACAGTTTATTATAATTTATTGAGGATCCCCAAGTTACAGCTCACGGACCCCTGGGGGTCCTGAGACCCCAGTTTGAGAACCCATGTGCAAAATCATTCATAATAATTACACATTACAGAAAATGTAACCAATGTAAAAGCCGGAAATATGTTAAGGTGTTATTGTTTTACACCTTATTTAGGTGAGTTTTAAAATTGCACAGAAAAATGTTGAGAAATGCTTGTTGTTTACGTTCCAATTTATCTGCAACATAACCTCATTTTAGGCTGTTGAAAAGGCTGCACTTTTTTTTTTGCCTCATCTCCCAATCACTCCATMCAGAACTGTCATCTARATGGGTTTTCAGCTGCATCTCCGAYTTGTCAGGATTCGCCTCTGTCAGCAAGGACGTGACGTCAAGCGGCTTAATTGGGCTTCTGTTTTGTGCGTAGGTACCCTGACATGCCCTGCGCTGCTGACGTGGTGAATACCTTAGATCAACAAGCTCTCACATCTATCCTCACTGCGTACGGGGAAGAAAGGCAAGCCTGGAAAATAGCTTCAGCCATCGTGGAGGCGCGCCATGTCAGCCCCATCACCCGGACGCGGCAGCTGGCCGACGTGGTCGCAGGTAGTGAGACGCCACCCCTGATTACCCCTCCCCACGACCCTGCAGCATTTTTTCAGGAGGCTGTAGGGTGAAAACAATACACAAGCTGAGTTATCAGGGCCGTCTCCCGAAGGGACACACACGTCTCTGAAAACGACACCGACTGTGATGTCAGTCGTCGTCCTTTCTTCTGCCTCGGTTTGAGGTGCTTTGTTCCACACCTTCTTCTGAGAGAGAAAGAGGAGACAGAGTTGGAGGTAGCTGGAACAGAATGTGACTAATGTCTTGAAACACATGCAGCAGCCCGCTTCTCACTCTGCTTCCTCTTTCTGCCTCTCTCCTCTCAATTTGTTGTTTTTAATGCAAACACCTGCATACCCTCACACAAACTGATACATCTGTGCATTCAGCAGGGCTTAGCTGTTTGGCTTCACTGATTGCTTTTTTATTATTATTATTTTTTTGTTGGTTTTGGTATGTTTTTTTTTTCTTTAGTCATACGAATTTAGATTTGAGATTTCGGTGCAACAGTTCCTGAACAGAGCGGTGTATGCGTCAGTGTCACCCTGGGAGAACAGGTGTGAGTAAGAGCAGCTGTTTGATCTCCTTTCAAGAGCGAGGCGAGTTAACACCGGTGTTTGTTTGCAACAATCCAAGACGTCTTGATTTAGGAAAAGTTCCAGGGGGAGCGCTGGCATCGAATGTGACAGTGATGAATTAGGGCCAACGTAACAAATCATGTTCATCGTTTCAGAGGCGGGAATAAGAAGGTAACTCTTTGCATTAGACAAGTTGTTAAAGCTGTTTTTTTTTTTTTTTTGTATGAAAAGTCTTAAAATCAGTAGATTTCGATGAAACGTGATTCACTTTTTGTTTTCTCACTCCTGACAGGAGTGATGAGTACGATGGTGCAGCTTGTCTTGTTGACTCGGCTCACACCTGACAACCCTGGAGTTTCATTTTCTCTTCTGTTTGTAGAATAATAGTTGGGTACATGTGGACACAGAGTCCTCTTCTTGTTTACCAGTTTCACAGACTTATAAAGACTTTAACCTACACTGTTACCTTTTGATAGAAAAAAAACAGCTTTATGTAGCTTCTTTGGACGTTTTTGGTCGGGTTTCTCTTACAAACCGTTGTTTTGAAGGCGATTTTCATCAGGGGGTTCGATCTTGCACCAACACAAAATTTTTTACAGACATTACTTTTTTCTTTGAGTAAAAAGCAAAAAAAAAAAAAAACCTTTCAAACTTGATATGAATTCCAAACTCTTCTGCATTACAGTGCTGATTGTTTTCATGGAACCTAATTATTAGTAGTTTGTGGTAATGCCTGTAATATTGCATAAACAGGAAATACAGTACATTTATTTATTTACGTAATTTATGTTATTTATTTGTTACATTTATTCATTTCATTTCAAATACCTATATACAATAGAAGACATAGAAAATACACAAAATAAAATGAAAGGTAGCAGAAGAAGAATAAATCATAATTTTTGCCGCTTTTATCCCAAGAATATATTCAAACAAAAATTATTTTAATATAATACAAAATAAAAAAATAAGCTCAAACAACAATTCACATAGATTCAAGTGTTGTTTTTTTCCTCTCTTGCTTGTGCTTTTTCATGCGTTTTTAAGGTAAATTAAAAGAGCAATATAATTAACTAAATTAGTAACATAAACGTTTATGTAAATTTGATAAAAAATTTAAAACAGTACAAAACAGTGCAGTACGTGACTCATGCCGCATCATTTCCACCTTCCAACAGTTTGCTGTACAGAACCGTGTGGCGTGTAGCCGCTAACTGTTTCGCTCTCGTGTTTTTTGTTGGGTTCTTATCGCATTACGATGCCACTCAAACACACTGCAGGTTTTTTTTTATGATTCGCAGGTACTCAACATAAAACCCAGAGGATACATACAGATACAGGATACAGAGGATGATAATAATAATAATAATAATAATAAACATTGAACAGGATGAAACTTATTATCCACTGATATAAGGTTTCTCGAATAGAAACCTAAAACTAGTTAAATATATAAATATATAGTATTATTTTACTCTGTGTAAACAGTAAATAAATCAGAGGTAAAACAAGCTTGTAATATTTAATAATTTGTGATAAATTGTAGCATGATTCAGTAGAATGCTACTCGATATAACAATATATGCTACAGAAGCTAATACCTGCTAACCAATTAAATAATTAACAGTGATTACATCATTTTTTGAGATTATTTTAACTTTGAATTTGAACATTATTAGCTTCAGTTCTGGACAGTTCACATCCACGTTGAGGTAAATAAGATCAAATCTGTTTACTTATGAAATTAGACACTTTTTCCTGTTTTTTTTTATCTGTTGGTGCATCCATAACACACATTCAGTCATGTTTTAGACACAAGATAGCTTATATACACGCTAAAATAATAATAGTTTTTAATATAATATTACAGTTTTCACATAATCATGTTTGCTCTTTTGCCGACATGTAAATCCAGACTCTTGCCCATTCTGGTTAGCCCCCCAGCTGCTATAGATCACACAGTTAGGTGGTCAAGACTCACTCCAGCTGTTCTATATAACCTCCTTGATAAGTGCTGGTGGCCATCTTGGATTTTTATGTCCCGATCTATTTTTTCATAGGGACCTTTCTTACACTTGGATGCAGCCAAACACCTAAATAAAAGTTGGCACCTCACTTTTTTTTTTCCAAGTTATCCAACTCACAAGACGGATGGACAGGCGGACAGATGGAGGGTATTTCCAAGTCCCCTCCTCGCTCTGCGACAGGAGACAAAAATGTGAACTCATCCTGAAACCTATCTGAAAGGCCGAGCCCAAACAGAGCTCTGTGATGTTTATTCTCTGGTTCTGTTACACATCCCTCACCGTCACGGTTCACCCTTAAATACCCGATTTCCTCCGCCTTCCCTCCACGGATCTGTCTGCWGGACCTTAGAAAGGTGAATTAGAAAGAGAGCGCATGGCTCGGRGAGGCCAGACCAGAACCGGTCCTTGCTGTGCAGGCTTTGTATTGATTGCAGAGTGAGTCACACTTTTGGGTTGTTTAGTGCAGGAGGAGAGAAATGCCACATCACTCTCTTCTATATTTATTACAGTATCTCTTTGGATCTGAGTAAGTGTCTAATTGTTCTTTTGTTGTCTGTGTGTYGTGACTATGAGTTAAAGTACTTCACGTGTATTTATATAACTTTATAAAAGCCTAATCAGTTTTTAGCTTGGGCTTTAAAAAACACATTTATCAGCTCTTTTTTTAACCAAAAAATAAAKAAATAAAATAACGATTAGTGCATTTAGCATGTTGTTGCACAAACCTTGTTTCYCCTCATTGTTTAAACATCTGCAGGTAGTTTTTTCTTTGCATTTTGTCTGCACAAACAGGGGAGTACACAAAAGCTGTAAATTTTTTAACAGTAACGTGAGCAGAGGGACTAGTTTTTTATGCTACAGTTTAACTTGATTTTTGACAGTGACACATATTTAGTGACACATAAGCCACAACAACACCATCTCCACCCTCCATCTGCTCCACACAGCGTCTCTGACGGACCTGCCGCCCGGTCCAACTGCTGCTCCGTCTTCACTCCTGACATTTGCTCGTATATATTTTTGAATAAGCTGTGTTTTTGTGCTCTGACCTATTTTCTCTGAACTTACCTAATGATCGGTCTTGCATTAATGATATGATTCACGCTGTTATGTGTGATGTTTCTTAGTCAACCAGAAAATGGCGTATATACAGTACCGAGCAGAAATCTTTCCTTAGGTTTTCCAAGAACACAGAATTTATTTTTATTTTTATTTTAAAGTGATATTGTTCCAGGCTTTCTGAGAATCTTTTGGTGTGTGAACACGGGCAGAGTTTTGTGTCGGGTCAGGTTCAGAGAAATTTTTGTTTTCTTTGTTAGAAAGCCAATTACCAAAACCTCATGAATCATTTAGACAGAAAATAAGGGACCTGACTCAAGGTGTAATTCCATGTTGTGTCTAAACAAAAGTAGCAAAGAACAAATTTAAAGTGCAATTCTAGTCTGTCAACAGCCTAATTTAGTTCAGTTTTATCTGCCAAGTGTAATCAGTATATTATCGCTGGTTTCAGAAGGTTTAGTTAGGAACAACCTCAGWTTCAAAGCCGAGTCACTGAACATGTAAATAAAACAAATGTAATGATTTTCATTTTTCATAAACTCATTTTTTTTTTCAAAAAGGAACCTATTAAACATGTCAAATGTTGAAACGTAGTGACAGATTGTAAGAATTTGATGACAGCAACACATTTCAGTAAAATGTGACGAGGCCTTGTTTTCCACTGTGAAACATCTTCTCCTGTTTTAACGACAGTCTTTAAACATCTCCGGTGTGAGGAGCCGAGCTGCTGGAGCTTTTGGAGGGAGTGTTGTCCCATTCTGGGCTGTTCAACAGTTCGGGCTCTTCTTTGCTGGATTTCTTACTGGTTGGGAGCAGATTTTGTTTCTGAAACTGTTTTTTTTCTGCAAGGATGCTGCTTTTCCAGGTGTGCAAGCTGCCGATGCCAGAAGCACTAATGCACCCCTATACTGTCAGAGAGGCAGACTTTTAAACTGTGCACTGATAACAACCCGGACGACCCCTCTACTCTTTAATACAGAGGACATACGTGATTAAAATTTTTGATTTATTTGACCACAGAACAATTTTCGCACTTTGTCTCAGTCTGTTTTAAATTAGTGTTGACCCAGAGAAGACAGCAGAGTTTCTTGATGGTACATGGCTTCTTCTTTGCATGATAGAGCTTTAACCATCATTTATGGATGGCCTAATGAACTGTTTATGGGATTTTTGAAGTCTTCCTAATTTGTTGGTTAAAAACTGACCAGGAAATAAAAATTCCTGAAAAAAGACCACTACTAACTAAAAGAAAATACACACACACCAGTTTCAACTGTGTGTTTTCAGCTGCTTTTAGACAGTTTTTTTTACAGACAGCTGAACCTGTGCTCATCTT